CTCCTCTCACTCAGGCTGTTTAACATTTGGTCTCAACAATCACACCACACAATTCCAGAGTATAACATATGATGATCTCCAATATGAATTTTTTTTCATGGAGATAATTTAGGAGTGTGTCTGGCAGGAGGCACACTGTAGAAATATCATCATCAATAATGCGTTTTGCTCTATTTGGGATTAAATCTGTGCTATACTGAATATTGTTCAAAAATCATTTTCATATATAGTAATTAGTGAAATGAAATTCCCTTAACTGAGATCTATATCTGTATTTTTGATGCTGATACTTTTATGCCAAAAATCGTTGTTGGAAGAGTGAACAAGTAGATAGATTACTTTATGTTAAGATGCAGATAATACTGTCAGCGACCAGCAGATTTATGTCAAGTTATAATTCATGGACATTATCCTGATGTCCACTACCAATTTTCTGTATTTCCCTGTCACCTCTGCATGAGCTCACTCCAGGAATCACAGGGATTGTCCCACAGTTAATGTCAATGGGGTGTGGGGGGGTAAATCTAGACTTTGACTTGAATGGATTAGCATTAAAAAATGGAACAGGTTAGGTGACTTTTCCCAGAATGTAGTCAGAATAATGGCTCCTCAGGGGTTACAGCAAGTGTCTTATTGAGGGGTTCCTCTTCATTTAAGTCACCTGAAAACTTAAACTCTAAAATAATTTTTGAAGAACAAAGAACAAATAGTTAGAAATATATATACAAAAACGGAGCCCCTGATGCATCCAGTCCACACAAGATCTGGAATTAGATAAAAAAAGATGTCTCTAGTGGTTTGTTTAAGGGAGTGCATCAAAGGCAGGGGTAATGTCTCAAGGGGGAGCCTTGCTTCCTGTTGTCTTGCAGTTAGCAGGTTGTCTAGCACCTTGGCAGGTCACATCCCTCTCAGGTGCTGTGTGGGCCATGGAAAAATGTGATAGAAATTCATAATAACTCTGGGAAATTGACATGAGAAAATGTCCACTGGTTATTCCCAGATACCAAATGTTCCTATCCACCAGGCTTCCATGCACAGTTACCCACACACAACCCAAGAACAGCTCGTGACAATGGTGCATCTTGTATATTACATCAAGCTAGTAGATGTTTAGGAAGAGCATATGGTGTGTGGACAGGGAGTGCCCTGGTCAAAGATCTGTGCATGGACCCCCTGGCCAGCTGCTTGGCTGAGGGCTTGGAGGAGAAAACAGGTAATCAGACACAGTGATCCTGAGAGATGCAGCAGATGGGCTCGTGGAGGGGTTCTGCATGTGCAGACTTAATGGATTCTGTGGAATGGCAGAGAAGGTGCTATAGAAGAGAGTTAAGTAACCATGTGTGCTGGAAGCCTCTCTCTCTCCTCTTGGAAGATTGCCTGTTCTCTGTGTCCCCCTCACTACCACCATATTTGCACAATAGATCCTTGATCAAGTGGAGGCAGGGAAGGGGGTCATGACATGTGCCACGTCTCTCCACTCCACCTCTACTGTGAAGTTGGTACTACAACCACATCAGGGAATCTGATTTCTCTGCAACAGAACAAAATATCACCAGCCACCTGTGGGTAGCTGGAGTTTAACCAGTGTCCCCTGGAGGGCTGCGGTGCCTTCCTCCTGGAACACACCTGTGCTGTGGTCATGTGAGCCTTCCCTGCCCACTCTGAGGAGCATCAGTATCCAGGCTCTCAGAGAGCGTGTAGTTGACTGAGATGGGAATCTTCACACCTGGACCTACTGTGTGCTGCAGGACCAGGAACACTAAGTGCATAATGGTGGCTTCCACTGGTCCTCCTAACACAGCATCAACCACAACCCACTTGGGGAGGACCTAAGTCCTATGTTAGACCTAGAGGAGTCTCCTTTGAGATTTGCTTCATCTTCATTTCATAACCCTGATGGCAGAAAGACATGTCTTAGAGAGCTAAGGGGCAAGTGACTTCTAGTCTTGTGATTGTAAACTCTGCTGGGAACAGATCCTCATCTCAGCAGTAAAATTTCTCCTGGAAACACGCAGAATACCTTAAAGTATATTCTAATTTTTATTAACTCAGGTTCCTTCAGACAGGAGACAAAGAGACATCTATGATACTTATTGTTGTGCTGGTTGTAGAATTCAACTCTAATTATAGGTTTCTGCTTCTCACTTGGTGGTTGAGACGAGTATGTAGGAGGATGTCCTCAAATGAAGGTGGAACATCAGCAACCAGCAGAAGAAGGCAGAGCAGGGCATCTATTTTAAGCCCTCACCTGCTCACACAGGTCTCCACAGAGGCTGTAGCTGTGCTGTGGAGGCCTGGGGTGGAGGGGGAGGAGCAGGTGCAGTGAGGACTTCTTGGTTTTCTCCCATAGCAGGCTTCCTTCAGAATCATGGACCATGTGTGCTGTTTGTTTCCAGACCTGGAGCCCTGAGTGAGCCTCTGTTTAAGACAAAATTACTGCAATTGAGGATGAAGAGAATTATTTTAAAGTGACTGTTTGTGTACTTCTGTAGACTGTGTTACCGTTTGATTTAAGGTTCCCCCTAAACTTTCTGAGTTAATGTATGGATATTCAGAGGGGAGATGATTGGTCTAAAAGACCTGAGCCTAGTCAGTCCCTCAAGTAGGAGTGAGCTAACTGGGTGGGGACTGTAGGCAGGTGAGTGTGGCAGGATGATATGTGATACTAGGGGTGAGCCCTGGAAGGGTGCATCTTCCCTGAAGCCCCTCCCCATTTCTTCTTACACTTCCTGATCCCCATGGGTGATGCAGCTGTCCCACCACACCATTCTGCCCTGATTTTCAGCCCACCTGGGCCCAGAGCAATGGGGTCAGCTGACCATGACTGTACTTCTGAACCCATGAGCCCAAATAAATTCTCCTGTACTATGTTAGACTTGTGCTGAATTATTGGCACAACAATGTAAACTTACCAACACAAATTGGAGATTAAAAGGATTTGCCTTGAATTCAGGTATCTATGGCTACTAAGTCCTTCCAAGGAGGTTCCTAGGCCTAGCAGGATAAGAAAGCTTTTATCTGGTGGGTCCTGCCCTCTGTGAAGTCACAGACTTGGCATGAACTAGGAAATGATTAATCATTCATAATTTCCAGCCCTGTGATGTGAGCAAATTCCAGGAATGTACAGGTTGCAAAGAAAACACTCAACATCATAAAAACCTTTATAGCCACCTAAAATGAGAAAATTCAGTCAGTTCACATAAACACCTAGTTGAAAATTATCTAAGGATTATCTGAACAGAATTTTAAATCAGCCACAATAAAAGTGCATTATCCAGCAATTGCAAATGTGTTTGAAATAAATGAAGAACAAACAAAAGCATCAGTCAGGGAACAGAAATTATGCAAAGACCAAAAAAGGAAAGTTCCAGAACTGAAAACTCCATTCACCATAATAAGAGCCCAATGGGGAACTGAGCAGGTGAACAGACAGAGGAAGGAGGCAGCAGGAGGGACAGCCATGGTCACACCCAGCTAGAAAACCCTGGGAGACAGCCTAGTGGGGGGGAATCAGATGACCAGGAGGTGCCTGCCAGCCCACCCCACAGCTATACTGCCAGCTTCTGAAGACAGAGACAGAGACCTTAAAAGCTGGGAAGGAAAAGTGACTCCTTAGCTTTATGGGAGAAGCAACTGGAATGAACAGAGAATTTCTCCCCTGGAAACAGGGGGGACAAAGGAAAGGACACACTTTCAAGTGTTGAAGGAAAATACTGTGGACCCACAACTCTAGATCCAGGAGATGTTCCTCAGGAATCATGGTAAACTCAAGAGCCCTCAGTTGTAGAAACATGAAGAGAATGTGTAGCTGACCCCAAAGTGACTGTAGGTGCTCTATAAAGAATAGAGACATGACAAGAGCAGGGACCTTGGAAAAAAGGATGGAGAAGTACCATAAAGAATGGACAAGTGATAAGCATTTTATAGCTGTATCTGACCATTGCACATTGTGGAAATTTATCCAAACATAACTGTGACACCCCAGGTCATTAGGGAAATGGAAATTAAAACACCTGAGAAAACAGCCCCCCTGAGGGATGGCCAAGTCCAGAAGGGAGCACCCCACAGGCAGCAGGAGCGGAACCCAGGCCCCATTTCTGCTGCTGAGCTGCTCCTGGCTGCAGTAACAAGCCACTCCCAGCAGCTGAGTGTTCTGGGGAGTGTCCAAAAGCTGTATCCAAGATGGAGAAAGGACATACAAGACAGTGTGACAGATTCTGATAACACTAGGCATTCTGCTATGAAACTAAAGATGGTGAACATACACATTTAAAAATAAATAAAATTCTACAAATTAAAACATAAAAACTGTGTTCAGCATTGAAAACTTGGAGGACACAAGGCTACCCTTCTCTAGGGAAACGAATCGATACTGTTGAAGAGCCAGAGAGTAGCATATTACTCAGCAATGAAAAGCACATAGCTATCATGGTGGCTATGTTGCTTACCTGTACCCTCACCAACTGGGAGGCTAAGGTAGCAGGATCACAAGTTTAAGGCCAGGTTCAACAACTTAGCAAGGACCTAACAACTTAGTAATATACTGCCTCAAAAAAAAAAAAGAACAATTTGAAAAGAAGAAGAAAACAACTCTCTATACTATAGTGAAAACCCCTGGAGGTTTGTGTGCATAGCACTCAGGGTGACAGGCCAGTCTGAACATTGTCATGCTGTGAGCGCCAAGCCAGTGTCACTCAGCCCAGGTGAAACTACTGGATGGAAAATCATGAAGGTCTGCAGTAGAGGTGGGGTGAGGAGCAGCTGGAGCTCAGAGAGTGTAAGGCGGAACCTGCACTGTGCCAGGCCACAGCGTTGGACAGATGTCACTGTCCACTTGTCTAGTTCCACAGAATGCACAAAGCTGAAGAAAAGAGTCAGGGTGCAGAGGAGCTCCCTGGATCCTTCCACAAACCCTCCCAGTGACCTCAGAGCCTGGCTGCCTCTGAGCAGTGCCGTCAGCAGGTGGAGGCAGCAGGAGGAGCATCTGGGGAAGCCCAGTCTCACACTTCTGCTCCCTGGGAAGTTTTTGTCATGGCTTGTGTAACTGTGGGAGGGAAACTATTACTTTGTTGACAGTAATAATCAGCAACATCCTCAGGCTCCAGGCTACTGATGATGAGAGTGAAATCTGTCCCAGATCCACTGCCACCGAACCTCGAGGGGACCCCAAAAGTGTTTTCATATTTGATGAGGACCTTAGGAGCTTGGCCTGGTTTCTGCTGATACCAGTGTAGATTATTGCTAATGCCCTGACTGGCCCTGCAGGTGATGGTGACTCTGTCTCCATGGGACACAGGCAAGGAGGACGGAGACTGGGTCATCATAATGTCACATCTGACACCTGCCACTGAAAACAAAAATAAATATTCTTATGAGCATTATGTTACAAGAGGATTTTCCTGAGTAGCCAGGCAGCACTGACTACACTGTGATTAGTAAATCCCCAGTGCTATTCCTCCTTACCTGGGAGGCAGAGGAGCAGGAGCCCCAGGAGCTGAGAAGGGGCCCTCATGGTCATGCTGTGTCCTGACTGGGACTGACTCCTGCACAGGGTGTGAGCAGCCTCTTAAGAAGTCCTCAGGGCAATGTGCTGTGCTGTGGGCACATGCAAATCAGCAGGGCTGTGCAGGCTGGGCACAGCTGCAGGGCTGCTCTTCTCAGTCACTCAGCATACAACCATCATCCCCTCATGTTCCAGGGCAACACAGATACTCTGCTTCTCTCGGGCCCAAGACCACCTATGTCCAGTACCCCTGAATAGCGAGTTATCTTGATCTCTTCCAAGTTCCGTGCTTGCTTTCTCCCATCTATGACAGGGGCTGTCAATGATGGCATAATCCCAGAAACTGCAGGACAGTTTACCAGCTACTTTCCATTGCACTTACAGAAAATTGCTGATACAGATAAGCTTTCTCTTTGCTCTTATTCTCCAATACTCATGATTTAAAGTTGAGAGGCAATAAGAAAAAAATGGGGAGTCACACTTTATAATGGAGGGTGTCATTTGCTTTTATTCAATCTCATGACTACAGCTAAGAAAGTTGCCTTCCTCCATTTATGAATGCTCTGCCCAACTACTTCCACCTAAAGCCAGGGAGTACCTTCCCTCCCATCTGAGGAGCATGGGCTTCCTCTCTAGCTCAGCTCAAGATGATATATGTGCATGACTTGTGTTCCCTGTCTCCTCAGAGCATTGCTCCTATTCTCTGTCCTCTGGCAACCCAAGTCATTGCCATTAGAAGTATAGATCCTATGTCCACCAAGTGCCACTGATATTCTACTGTGCTCCCTAAACTGCATATTTCACATCTCCAAATGTCAGTCAGCTCCTAAGAGAACTCTGTTCTCAGTGCCTGGTTTAGAACAGTGGGAACCAGGCAGGGTGCAAGGGAAGCATATGGGTGTGTGAAGCCCTGCATGGGGACTTGCAGTCTCAGTGGGGTCCTGAGGGTGTCCCCACATGGAGGAGTGGTAGTGTTGTCCAGGTGTGGGTGTCCAAGAGGGGTAAGACAAGGAGGACACTTGGAAGGATAGGAGTCCCCGGCGTAGGAGACATCCCAGGAATGAGAAAGACACCCATGCAGGGAGACAGTTTTGATGGTGGCCAAAGAGGGGTGTCAGAGTGGAGCAGGTGGTGGGTATGTTAGAGAGAGTGGGTGCGAGAAGAGGTAGGTGAAGATGATAGCTGGGGATTGCATTTGAACAGGGGGATGGTGATGATTTCAATGTGAGGTGTTTAACAAAAGCCCATGTGTGAGACAATGCAAGAAGGTTTAGAGGACAAATGTTTATGTTGTAAGGCTCTTAAGCCAACTAGTGAAATAATCCTCTGTTGGGATTAACTGTGTGGTAACTGTAGGCTGGTAGGGGGTGGCTGGAGGAGGTGGGTCATTGAGGACATGCTTTTAGGGTATGTATTTTATATCTGGCAAGTGGAGTCTCTCTCTCTCTCTCTCTCTCTCTCTCTCTCTCTCTCTCTCTCTCTCCCCCACCCTTTGGTGATCATCATGTGAGCTGCTTCCCTTTGTCACACTCTCCTCCTAAGTTGTTCTGCCTCTTCTCAAGTCCCAAGGAATGCGGCTGTTTGAGATCTCTGAAACCATGAGCCTTTAGGAAAAATCTTCCTCCCATAAAATTTTTCTGGTCAGATACTTTGGTCACAGCAGCAAAAAAAGGTGATAAGACAGGTAATTTATTAAAATGCCAATTCATTTGCTATATCTAGATCCAAGAACTCAGTGTTACAAGAAGGAGTTACTTACTTGAAATGAGACTAATTGAATAAAACCTACGATTTTAGACCATAATCAAAGATATCACTGTATACTCACAACTCTGGTAGAGTAAGACATGAACAACTTGCAGAATTAAATATATATTTAATACAGGCATAAATAGATAATTTCCCTAGTCTAGAATAAATAGTCCTTTAGTCTCAAAAACACCGATGGTTTCTAAATACAATTATTCTTTTATAAAAAGAACTATTAATCATTGAAGAAATGCCTACTACAGAATCTACAATAGGAAACGGACATGGAGCATATCCATCTGGGAAAACTAAAGGACAAGGTGGTTATAGCCTATCAAAACAGAAACCAATTTCAATGGGACTCCAACTAGCTACACTGGAAATATTTGAGCATCAAAAGAATCTATGAAGAATATGTTATAAACCACTGAATATGATACAAATCTATGAATTGATACTTCTATCTTAATGAAGAAAGGACATTCATGAAGTATCAAGGATATTGTCCACAAATCCCTTCTAATTTTGAAGGAGAAAGGTCAATGTGCAGCAGAGAATTCAGGTGACACCACCTGAATCAGGTTCACAGCTTTGCCTCTGGACATTCCTGAGTAGTATAGGCTGAAATATTGGGGTTGTGACCCCAGTGACACAGAGCATGACAGATTGGAGACAGGGTGCTTGAAAGGGTAATTATGTAAGGGGAGGTCTTCTGTCTGGTTTAATTAAATGTGCCTGGAGGTCTCATTGAAAGAGGAATTTAGAACTCAGATACACCTTGGGAAGACCATGTGACACACAGAAGGACCCTGGAACTCAGAGAGGCCTCCAAGAAGAACAGCGTGCTGGTGCCTTCCTCTTTACCTATGGATCCCATGACTGCTAGATAATACATTTTTGCTGTTCAAACACCCAATCAGTGGTTCTTTTTCATATCAGCACAGCATCTCTGTGCTGGTCCCATGGCGAGATGTGTCAGGGAGTGGGCAGGTTGGCCTGCATAAGCCACTCTCCTGGGAACTAGCTGTGGTCACATGAGAAGGACCTTCATTCCTTCTGAGTGCAGTGCCAGCACTGATCTAGGGACCTTCCAGTAGGTTCAGATTCTAAAAGTTCTACCACCTCCTAATATCACCAGTTTGGGGACCAAACTGGTACACTACCATAGACTGATTAGTGAAATGTAATCCAGAGGGGACAGGAACTCCTACAGGGTAGACGTTCTATAAGGCAATTCATGTGTCCTCTTCAAAAGTGACAAGGTCCTGATGTTCAGGGGAACACTTCAAGTATTCCTGACTGAAAGAGTCTGGAGCCCTGCCACTGAGGACTCCATGTGAACTGGGACAGAAGCATGTCCTGACCAAAGGTAGATGGGGACAGTGAAGGGATTTGAGGTGGACTTGATACCTGGATGCACAATATGCTAAGGCTGTTCTCTAGATTCTTTGTGGTGTTGGCTTGTGTAGGAGGACGTCATCAGGAGGAGGCACATAGTAAAATGTGGTGGGCCATCAGGTCTAATCTGACTCTCAATAGTTTCCGTGAGAAAGTAGAATTTTGTGTTGTTCATAAATGTCTGTAAGTTTGAATTTTCCTCAAAATTTTTCAAAGATGAAACATCTATTCTTGAAAGAGAGAATGTTTTTCTTATCACTTTGCAATAACCCTGACCAGTTTTTATTGCCATCTGCTATTGTCTGTTCCCAAGGGATGGAGCTGGAGTCTTGGTCCCAAACTGGTGATATTAGGAGGTGGTTGAACTTTTATAATCTGGACCAACTGGAAGGTCCCTAGATCAGTGGGGGCACTGCACTCAGAAGGAATGAAGGCCCTTCTCATGTGACCACATCTAGTTCCCAGGAGGATAGCTTATGCAGGCCAACCTGCCCACTCCCTGATCCATCTGGCCATGGGACTAGCACAGAGATGGCCTCTCTGACAGGTGAAACTTCTGCTCCCCATTGCATCTTTGGAATAAGATTAGAGTGGCTTTTCCCCAGACCTATAATTCTGCCAAACAGAAATTGAGAGCTTTGGAAGGAGAATTCAGTGACTTGGAACAAGAGAGTACATGTTTGCTCTCATCTCTAACTGAGACTCTGATTTGAAGAACCCACAAGGAGAAGATCAGAGTTTAAGGAGTTCTGAGTACAGATCAGGAGTCACAATAAAAATGATTCACTTCCCCCCCTTTGTCTGGAAAAAATCTCATGTTTTAAGAAAAAAAATAGAGAGGAAAGATTAAGGAAGAACAGAGTGATCTCCACCAAAAATAACTATTACACATAGTAAAAGGTGCTCTGCTTAAAGTAGGTCCAGTTTGTCCTCCTAGATGGTGACATAGCACTGATTCTGGGCACTGGCCTGTGTGTTGTGTGGACTCATGAAGCAGGAACAGGATGGAGTGAAAGACAATGTCTTTCATAAACAGATGGATCAAGGGACAAAGGCCCATTAATGATGCTGCATTTGACTTTGTTTCCCAGGAAGCACAGGAGTTCAACTGCACTGGCTTTTCCTTTCTTCCTCTGAGTCTGTCCATGCTGGAGGTCAGGACCTGAACACTCAGTGCCCCACTTGCACTGAGGGAGGTCAGTTCTCTATGGCAGGGTGTCAAAGCAGCAGTGTGAAAATGCTATTTGCAATTTTAGTGCCATGACATTAAAATAAAAATTACATGAGGCCAGGGTTTCTTCCTGATGTGTTCAAGTTCCTGGACCCAGCACTGGTCAGGAGGCTGTGGATGCACAATGTTATAAACAGTTTTCATCTTTGTTAGGGGTAAGTGAAGACCGTCCTACCAGAGGTTGGGACCTGAAGTTGTCATTGCTACCTCTGAAGGAGCCATTGGCACCTGAGATCCATCAGTGACAGAGGGACTGTGGAGAACATGAGATGCTATTGAGAAGCCAGGTGACTTAAAGAGCAGTGAGGAGGGTGATTGTCACTCAGGTGGTGGCTCCTGTTCTGAGAAGTGTCTGTGCTGAGGGAAGCACCAGAGGGTTGGGTGGAGGTGTTTGGGTGCCTTCTAGTGGCCAAATACGGAGTTGAAGTGTGTATTTGAATCCAGAAGAGATCTGAGATGGCGACAGAGGTTATGCACTCTGTCCTCATTGTGTCCAGTGACAGGAGCATATTCCATGCACCGACACCACATTTAAATGTTTCAATAACTTTGAAAGTTTGTGCTCACCTGCACTGAGAGTGTGATGTAAGATGACTCATTTCTCCCAACTGCAGCGGAGTGGAAAGTGGACAGTTGA